CTTTTTGTAACTGACCCTCTGTGTGATAGAGGCCCAGTCCTTTGTAGTGACTAAGTAATGTCTTCAATATGCTCCAAACATTTGGACTCTGTTCTAATTCCTGAAGGTCTCCTACTAACCCTTAGGTTGAGAAGTCGAAGTTTCCAATTGATTTGCTGTGATCTGTCTGCTGTTTGGGGTTTGCGTTTCCTAGAAGTGATGTTTTATTTTCTGTGCATTTCCCTCTTACTGAACTGCACCCAAAGTAAACGCTGTAGGCTTTGGTATGGGAAAGCTTTAGCTGTTCAAACACACACACCCTGCTGACATTCAAATCCACAGATGGTACCACACACCGGTGTTTACTGAGTCCCTGAAAGGTCTGAAAAAATATTACCATATTTATCACTTCCAGTGGTAGAACAGAAAATTACTATTTCGTCAAGCCTAATTCTTAAAAGTTTTGTTTTAAATCTCACTCTGCGGTCCAGACTGGAGTACAGTAGCATGATCACTGCAACCTTACCCTCCTGGACTCAGGTCATCTTTCTGCCTCAGCCTCTGAGTAACTGGGACTACAGACACATGCCACCACTCCAGCTAATTTTTTTTTTAATGTATTTGTAGAGACAAGGTCTCACTATGTTGCCTAGGCTGGCCTCAAACTCTGGACTCAAGCAATCCTCCTGCCTTGGCCTCCCAAAGTGGAGGATTATAGGCATGAGCCACCACATTTAACCTCATATTTTTAAAAATTAGATTATATTTCATTTCTACAAATATAGCTTGGGCCCTTATTTACATCAAATGATGCTGACAGTGTAGAAAAATAAACAGAGCTTTGAGGGAAGTGGAATTAGAATCAGTAATACATGCAAAATGAAGATTGTAATGTCTTGACACATGACAACCTAGATCAAGGCAGAAAAGACTTGGAAAGAATACAGGGTTAGGAAGGAAGGACCTGAGGTTCTAATTCCAACTCTTACTACCAGCTAGTGGCAGGACTTTGGGAACATCACTGAATCTCCTCTTCTTAACTAGATCCACGTTTTCCCAGTTGATCAAGATATGAGAATCACCTGGAGTGTCTTGTTCAAAAAATCATATGGTATCCCTTAGCCCAGCCCTAATGAGTTAATCGGAACATCAAGAGAAGGGATTTATATCACACACACACACACACACACACACACACACACACACACACAATATGCACTGCACACATGCACAAACTCACAGAGGGGCAACTTTAGAAAAAACAATTTTGAGAAACACTGAGTTTGAAAATGTCTAAAGATATTTCTAAGATATTATGAACTGGATGTTATGAGTCACCCTTTGTTGCGCAAAATCTGCAAATAAAATACAATTAATAAAATACTTTCACACCTATAATTTCATTTTCTTTCCCCAATAATCCTCTGATATAGGCAGAGGAGATGCTGTGAGATGTCCACAAAAGTGAAACTGGTGGGGCAGGACTGGACACAAGTCCTCCTGGCTCTCCTCCATTACCTTTTCCCTCTCTCCCAAGATATCCCAATTATTTGTGTTTTAATTTGATATTTTAAATACTTACTCTATTTTTTACATTGCAAAAGTTAATTCTATGATTTGTTTTATGAATTTAGGTATTCTTCAGATTCCTCTTTTCTCTGTGACGTATTGACTTTAATATCTGACCTATCTAGTTCATGGTGTTACATTGAGGATAAATCAGTTCAGGATGTGAAAATTTGTTATTATTATTAGTAAAATAAAATAAATACTATAGAATAAACTATTCTTTTATAAATTTAATAGAGCTGTTAGTCTCTATGGCTTTGTGTCTACTGGTAAAAGCACAAAAAAATAAACAAAACAATTATTTCTTTATTAATTTTTTGATTAATTAAAAATTTTTGAGTACCTATTATATACAAAGGAACATTAACATGTTTAGTGTCTTTCTCCTTTTTTTTTAACATGAAAACCTCCTATTTAGTGATATTTTTATATAAAATGTTTTATTGATCTCATTAAGTATGAAAGCATTAGAAAATTACTACTATGTATGGTACACATTTATTCAGGCTATAGAGAATGCATGACAGCAAAGAGGACACCCACCAATAAATCTATAAGCTAGTAGTAATCTATGGTCCATGAATTAGTAGCCATGGGTTTGAGGTGGCTTTTCCTAGTATCTTCCTTTTCTCCATGAATAATTACTGTATTAGCGATGAGTTATACCAAAGTTCCAGTCCCTAGGTTCAGATTTGAACAGTCACATGATCTATGTCATGAAATCCTGGTAGTAATAAAAAGCAATGGCAAATGATATATGTGTAGTCCTCCACAATTAATAAAATACTTTCACATCTATAATTTCATTTTCTTTCCCCAATAATCCTCTGATATAGGCAGAGGAGATGCTGTGAGATGTCCACAAAAGTGAAACTGGTGGGGCAGGACTGGACACAAGTCCTCCTGGCTCTCCTCCATTACCCTTTCCCTCTCTCCCAAGATGTCTCTGTGATTCTACAACTGGAGATCAGTGGAATGTGCTTTTCCTCTGCCTCCACATACACACACATTTGTGCAGGAGGGTTTGTATTATTGCAAGGATCTGGAGAAGACCAATCTGAGCTATTCTCTTAGATATCTATGCTGGTACCTATTTCAAACTCTCATGATCTTACAGATCTCCATGTGTTTTGTAGCTTTATTCTGATGGATTCTTTTAACTGGAGTTAATGTTTTCTGACTCTAGAATAGTCCCTGAGCTAGGGTGTTAATCCATCATTTTGTTTAATCCTTAGAACAATAAACACATTTATTGAGCCACATTAAGAAATTACATTTTAAAGTTAAAACAGAATGAAGTAAGCCCAGCAGGAAAGCAAGAATTTGTTAGACTTCTCCCCCAATTCCCTACTAATGCTAGTGGTTCCATCGCTTTCTGAAGGTCGAGTGGTCCAAGTCTCCTCACCTGTGGTCCAGAAAGATTAAGGAATTTAAGTTAGCTGCGGGGAATGAAACCATCCCCTGGAATCATCTCTGGAGCATCAAAAGCTAGCTCTGTGTAGAATCTGCCAGTAATTGGTGCTGAGGTTTTCCAAAAAGGAGTCAGATTCCCAAGCAGATATTGAGTACTGGGGCTTCAAAGTGGATAGGTGGCCATCACCTAGAACAGGGCAGAACCCCATATATAGAGTTAGGATACCAAGGCCCACATGAACCAAGAAATCCAGGGATGTGTACCACCTAGATTTGGCAAATAAAAATACAAAGTAGCTGGGCTCGGTGGCTCAGCCTGTAATCCCGTGCCTTTGGGAGGCTGAGGTGAGTGGATTGCCTGAGCCTGTGGGTTCGAGACCCGCCTGGGCAGTGAGATGTCATCTCTACAATAAATCAAAAAATCAGCCGGGCGTGGTAGCGCATGTCTGTAATTCCGGCTACTTGGAAGGCTGAGGTGGAAGGATCACTGGAGCCCAGCAGGTTGAGGCTGCAGTGGCGGGGAGTGGCCACTGCACTCCAGTCTGGGCGACCGAGTGAGACTCCAACTCAAAAAAAAAAAAAAAAAATACAAAGTACCCAGTTAAACTTGAATTTTAAGTAAATAGAGAATAATTTGTTAGTATAAATATGACACATGCAAATTTATATGGAGTTCAAATTTAACTAGGAATCCTATATTTTATGTGGCAAAGCTGAGGATGAAGATATTTCAGAATGTTTACAAGCCAGTAGTTTAATTTTTCCTGTTTCTGTTGTCAGAGAGGCAGTCTCTAAAGGAAAGAGAGAAAAGAGACCTTAACTCTTGTCCAGGTTCTTGACTTTGCCACAGGAAAGAATTTCAGAGCAAGTCACCAGGTCGGTGAGCAAAGCAAAGAGTTTATAAAGGTGAAAGTATACACTTAAAAAGATGGGAAGTGAGGAGAGCTCCCTTGAAGAAGTAAAGTACACACTCCAAAGGAGAGGGATATGGACAGTCTTAGAATGAGAAGTGCCTCAAGGGGGTCTTGGCAACTGGCTTTTATCTTCTTTGTCTTTAGGGAAGTGACTGGGAGTAGGAGAGAGTCCTGAGGACCATGGATTTGTCTTCATTTGAACATCTGGGCTGCAGAATGAGCTCATGTTCCATTTGCAATCATCAGATGATTGTCCGGGTTCGGTGGCTCAGCCTGTAATCCCAGCACTTTGGGAGGCCGAGGCGAGTGGATTGCCTGAGCTCATGGGTTAGAGAACAGCCCGGGCAACTTGGCAAGACCTTGTCTCTACAATAGATAAAAAATTAACTGGATGTGGAGGCTGAGGCAGAAGGATTGCTGGAGCCTAGCAGGTTGATGCTGGAGTGGCCATGAGTGTGCCACTACACTCCAGCCTGGGAGATGGAGTGAGACTGACTCAAAAAAAAAAAAAAAATCATCAGGTGATCAAGAAGGCAGAAGGCCTGCTTTTCTCTGCAGAATTTGCTAAATTTTTAGCAACTTGCTTCCTGCTTCTTGTGGGATGAAACAGAGATCACAAACTCTTGTACTTACTATCCCACCTCACTTCTCCTTAAGACCTCTCTCTAGTTTTCACCATCCTCCATGTCATTACCCTGAAGGTCCCAGTCATAAGGTAAGGGAAGGGAAGAGTAGAGTCCATTTCCAAAATGATAATATCTCTAATTTTAGTATCATTTTATGTAATTAAAATTTACATTCATATAGATTCTTTCTACAATAAAATGCAGTGGCTGGTTTCTTTTTGAACATACATAGGCATTTTATGGATAAGAGTAAAACATGTCTATTTTTCATAATTTGGCAATGTTCATTTCTTAAATCTGTTTGTGGAGAAGATGACTTACAAAATTAGTTGTGAGCATCTACAGGAACTCTTTATTTTCTATACAGAAGGCCTTTTTGGAAGCATAAAACTAGGATTTAAATATTATTTCTGCCTGTGTTGGTTGTTGTAGGGAAGTATTTTATCTAAATCAGATAAAATATTGAAATACACAGTTTGGTTTTTTTCTTTCCATTCAGGTCCTGCACCCTTCTTAATTTTCTCCCATGGAAATAATATCTTTAGGATTGACCTGGAAGGAACGAACCATGAAAAATTGGTGATGGATGCTGGCATCTCTGTGCTCATGGATTTTCATTACAATGAGGAAAGAGTGTATTGGGTGGATTTAGAAAGGCAACTTTTGCAAAGAGTTTTTCTGAATGGGTCAAGCCCAGAGGTAAATTCCTTTTAGCCTCAGTATTTGAGAGATTTTTGTACAGACTGACAAATACAATATGTTGAATTCTTAGCATATAAATACACAGAAATTATATTTTGGTTCAAATATGTGTCTATCAAATGCAGATATTTATTTAACTTACATCTATGGTAATATTATTGAATAAGCTCACAAACTGATATCAAGAAACCCTAAAAGGAGAAAGTGAGGATATGAATGTAATTTTGAAAATATCTAAGTTTACTAAGTCAGATCATTTTATCACTGAGATAGATTATTTGCATAATTTTTTTTTAACATTTGTATGATACCCCAGTGGTTCTCAGTCAAGGACACAGTGATGAGGGTGTGGTGTGTGCACGATTTTGCCCCTTAGGGGACATTTGGCAATGTCTGGAAACATTTTAGATTGTCACAACTAGGTGACGTAGGAATGTTGAGGTGTTGCAGGTGTCTAGTGGGTAGAGGCCAGGATACTGTCAAACATAAGATGCAGCACAGCCTCATAGTCATGAATTATCCAGCCCAGAATATCAATAGTCCTGAGGTTGAGATACTCTGCTTTATCCATATAAAATCTCTATCATGGGTCCTGTTATGTAGGAAGAACTTTTTTTTTTTTAAATTCTCAAGGTGTTTGCACTCTGGAAAAAAAAAGTGAATGACAGATACAAAGTGTTTTACTTCAAGTACATACAAAAGATCCTTAATCTTTCTTTTTAGCCAGTAGAGCCCTTAAATGAGTCCCAGGAGAAATGTTCTCTCAATTCTTTGGAGATGGATTAGAAAGAGCACGTGACTAGAGAAACCTTAGGCATTTATTCCCAATACAAAGTGCCCACTGTTTTTTTTTTTTTTTTAACCAAACCTCTCTCCCGCCAATTATTCTTAAAAGCTTTAATTAGGTACTAATTTGTTTGATCACATCTCTAATACTTGCTAATCTCACTTTTAACAAGAATGGCTACTCATTATTCTCCAGCCATCTGCTAGTCTGTTTCAAAACCTTGAGTCTAATAATCTGGAGGGTTTTCTGTCACAGAACAAGAAAAAATTTCAAATAATTGAGAATTTATGTAAAATCATTAGGAAAGGATTGGCCTAAAATTCCACCACTATATTCCACCACCTGTGGATTAAAACATTGTTTATAAAGGTCAAAGGTTAAAATGCAAACAATTTACCTGGGTGAGCTAATTTATAAATAATTATAATTTAGCAATTGGTAAAACCAATTGGTTAGATTTCCTTGTATGAAATGGAGGACTAGCACAAGCTCATGAGATGATACAATTTTGATCCATCTCCAAGTTCAATGGCTTTCAGTGGGTAGTCAGAAATCCGCCCATCATGGGAATATTTACACCATGAAATCTGCAATGGTATAAGTCAGGGCTTCTGCCCACCTTGTAACTTCCATCCTCCAAGAAGGTCATTTTACCTGCCCATGGCTGGAATTAGGAGATGAGAAAAGGTTGTCTGGACCTTTTTATCATAGCCTAAGTTGCATAAAGAGAAGTCCTTTTACTCTGGTCACAGTGTGAGAGCACAAGAAACTGTAGTAAGGAAGGGGTCTGGTGGAGGAGGCCAGGAAAAAAATGGGGGCCCTGACAAGAATCTCATCAACTTCATGGTTCAGAATTTGGCAAAGCTGGGGACTGAGTTCAGGTGAAGATCTGGAAAATTCCATTAGGAAATAAATTGTCTTTACGTATCATCGATATTCTGCCAGTACTAGAGTTGAAATAGTTCATATGTTATGGTTGATTGCCTAATTTCAATAGCGTATAAGATAAATTTCAGTTTTAATGTTGGTATAAATACTTTGCCCAGAAATATTTATTTGGAGGGGCGGGGTTAATATTGCTGCATCAAAACAAAAGCACCATATCTGTGACTATTTTATCATTTAAATAATTTTGGGAATGTATAAAGTGACAGATACTCAAAAGAACAGACTTCTTATGCATAACAATAAAAATAATTTTGTTGTGAATAGGGAAATAATGACAATTGTAAAATTTGATTTTGCAGAGAGTGTGTAATATAGAGAAAAATGTTTCTGGAATGGCAATAAATTGGATAAATGAAGAAATTATTTGGTCAAATCAACAGGAAGGAATCATTACAGTAACAGATATGAAAGGAAACAATTCGCATGTTCTTTTAAGTGCCTTAAAATATCCTGCAAATATAGCAGTTGATCCAGTAGAAAGGTAAATTCTGCTGTATTCAGACACTGAAACGTATTTCCAAATCTAATTAAGATTCATAGAATAACATTTTGAATTCAAAGGGACCTTCTCATTGACACCAAGCCCCTCTTTTACAGCGCACAGACACCATTTTCGGTAGGTCCGTAGCCTGGATTTGAACTGAGGCAGGCTCCCTCCACAAAACACCCACTACCACAGTTTTCAGCTATAGAAGCATAATTCTCCTTCTAACTTGAAATCACATGCAGTTTCTATAATACGGCAATATACACTTGTTGAAGTGAATTTTCATTCAAAATAGTCAAACTCATCCTGTACAGAAACTAGGGACTGGTGTAACATTGAGAGAATTGGCCATTTGACTACCCATTCAATTTTGGGTCTATGTAATGTGTTTGCCCTCAGGCTTATATTTTGGTCTTCAGAGGTGGCTGGCAGCCTTCACAGAGCAGATCTCAATGGTGTGGAAGTGAAGACTCTGCTAGAGACATCAGAGAAAATAATCGCTATATCATTGGATGTGCTTGATAAGCGGCTCTTTTGGCTTCAGAATGACAGAGAAGAAAGCAATTCTCATATTTGTTCCTGTGATTATGATGGAGGTTCTGTCCATCTTAGCAAACATCAAACGAAGTAAGTTTTGCTTTTGGTGTATAATAAAGCAATTAGCATTTGAAGTCTGTGACATAAATGAATTTTACTTTTGTCAACTAAATTGGTATAGTGGTTTAGCGTATGCATATTTAAGTGCAAAAAGCTTGAATTCAATTCCCAGATTTACCATTTACGAGTGACTTTGGGTCAATTACATAACTCCTCTTACCCTCAGTTTTCTTTAATGTAGGGATAATCATTGTACCTGTTTCTTGGGATTATTGTGAAAATAATGTAAATAAGTGCAAATAAAAATAATCAGCAGTATTTGGAATATAAGTTCTCACATGTTGGTCATGCTAATTTTTTGGAATTTGTTTGTATATTTTATGAAGCACCTTTCTTTTTTAAAATTTAAAAAAATTTTTATTTTAAAGATGTGGGGTACAATTCAGGATTAGGTATACAAATGTTCATTATGCTAGTACCCTTGTTGTTGAGGTGTGCCCCTCCTTCCCCAGGCAGATTCCCACTACTGCCAATCCCACTTCCCCACTCTCTCCCAGCAGTTTTCTGCTACTGCCAATCCTTTTCTTATAGTATTACGATAATTGTTCAAGCCTCGCTTATGAGTGACAACATGTGATACTCAGTTCTTTGTTTCTGTGATACTTCACTCAGTATTACAGACTCTAAGTCCATCCAGGTTGCTGTGAAGTTCATGATTTTGTTCTGCTTTATGGCTGCGTAATATTCCATCATGTATATGTAGCACATTTTTTTAATCCAGTCCTCTTTTGATGGGAGCATGGTTGGTTCCATGTTTTTACTACTGTGAAGAATGCTGTGATAAGCATACATAAGCATCTATCTTTCATTTGATTTGCTGTCATGCCAGCAACTGACATTCCAACTTGTGGCCAGAGGCAAAAATTAGAGTGTGAAATTGTTGTAACTAGAAACCCACTCTTACTATGTTCCTATTTTCTTCCCTATTTTTCTACACTTTTGTAATGACTAACAGAAAAATGAGGCAATGAATCTGAACCAGAAATTACATCCTATTAGTTCAGATTATAGTGACACAAATAAAATCTTAATTTATAAACTTAAATGAGAAACAATTGCAAAGGTAGGTGATTAAAATTTAGGCAATAAATTGAAGTGACACGAAGCTTCAATGAGCCAAAGGACAAATGCTCAGTCATTCTTTTTGTTTTTCCGGTTGTTTTTTAGGCACAATTTGTTTGCAATGTCCCTCTTTGATGACCGTATCTTTTATTCGACATGGAAAACAAAGAAGATTTGGATAGCCAATAAACACACTGGAAAGGATATGGTTAGAATCAGCCTCAATCCATCATCTGTACCACCTGGTGAGCTTAAAGTCGTGCATCCACTCAAACAGCCCAAGGCAGAGGGCAATGCTCCAAAGTCTGGTGAGTTATCTGGGACCGCACAGGTGGCCTAACACATAGTCCCCACTTGCTCAAGTCAGACTCCAGGGTTGTAGGGGAGAAAAAATAATTTTGTCTTCAACCTTCATAAGTTTTTAGTTGGAACAGACCCTTGTGACAAAATACAGATTTACAAGAGAAAAGCAAATAGAAATTTATTAACAGGTACACTTCATACATACATGGGAGACCCCCAGGGAATGAGTAGCTCTCAAGGAGGTGGCTTTACATTCCAGCTCATATAGTATCTTCAACAAAAAAACCCAGTACATTTTAAAAGAAGTTTCAAGACAGAGAAACGTAGGGGAAGGCAGATAAAGGCTAGTTAGTAAAGGTTGTGATTGTAGATTACTCTGCTGGCATTACCAGGCCATACAGGTCTAGAGTTGTCTTCTGTGGTTAGCCTTTGTTCTCTCTGGCAAAGGGGCGGGGGGGTTTGTCTTTGCAAATTCGTGTCCTGCAAATATTTAGGCAAACAGAGGGAGGGCAGAATGCTTTCCTACATCTGCTTCTTTGTAATTTTTTGCAACAGCTCAGCAGTCCTTCATACTTTGGAGTGTCACGTTCCGGTCTCCTCCAGGGTCATCCTCGATTCCTCTGCATCTCATGCTCAGGCTCGATTTTCAATCCACCATCAAATCCTTTCCATTCTGCCTCCTAAATACACCTCAACTGCGTACTCTTTCGTCTACTGCTATGACCATAATCCAAACAACCAGGCACTTCTTGCTTGGCCTATTACAATAGCCACTCAGCTGATCTTTCTGGTTTTTTCCCTCTTGCTGTTAATAGTGAATCTGATTCATTGGCTTCCCTGCTTAAAATCCTTCAAAAGCTCTACTTTGTACTTAGGTTGAAATTCAACATATTTTGGGGCCTATCAATATTTGCCCAACCTGCTGTAGTGCTCTTTGCCCTGACCAGGATCTGGCGCGAGTCTTCCTACAGCTCCTCGAACCTGCCGGGCTCGTTCATGCCTCTGGGTTTTTGCAGTCACTCTTCCCTGGCCTAGACTTCTTTTCATTCTGAGCTTAAATGTCATGTCTTCAGATAGACCTTCTCTGAACAACCAGTAAAGTATACCCCTTACCTCCTTTTTTTTTTTTCCCTCGGTATAACCTTTATTGAACTCTTCACAACGTATAATTGCATATTAATTTGCTTTCTTTTCTGATTCTGTCTCCCCCTTGATTATATGTGTGTGGGGGGGCAAACAAAACAAAATAAAACAAAAAACAAAAACACCCTCCAGAATTGGTTTTTGATGGGCGAGCCCCTTGTAGTATGGGCTTCCTTGGCTAGCTGTTAGAGGAATCCATTGGCAACAGTGTACCCATTATTGTGGGAGACTGCATTCAGTTTCAGGGAATTTTTTTTTTTAAGATTCAGTGCATTTGCCCATTTCATGATGGAAAATTTGCAAGCACACCTGCCACATAGCAGTTTTGACCAAAACCAGCATGACCCCTGTGCCTTACCCTCTCTATTCACCCAATCTTACCCTGAGCAACTTTTTTTTTGTTTCCCTGGTGGAAAAAATCCTCAAGGGGAAATGTTTTACCAATGTGGAAGAGGTTAAACAAAAAACAGAAGCACTAAAAGGTATCAAAAGATCCTTTTTTTTTTGAGCAGTAGAAAAAGTGTCTCAATAGGTGTATTGCATCAAATGGAGTATTTTGAAGGTGACTGAAATTTAAACATATAAGAATAAATACACAATTTTTAATAAATAAATTCCAGGTGTTTGGGGTTCCCCCCTTATAAGTGCCATGCAGATAGGGACCATGTCTGTTTTGTTTATTTGTTTGTTTTTAACCACCATGTTATACAGTGGATATTTATAAATAAAAAGTTTTGGACAATAAATATTAGTAAAATGAATGAATGCTTGATCCTAGCCACAGTGCCAAATTTCTACTTTTCAGTTTGAATTCTTTAGTATGTAATTGTTTGGTTTTTTAAAAACATTGTCCCGAGGTGAGAGGATTGCCATTGCCAAGACCAGCCCGGGCAACTTGGCAAGACCTCATCTCTACAATAAACAAAAAATCAGCTGGGTGTGGTAACGCGCACCTGTAGTTCTGGCTACTTGGAAGACTGAGGCGGAAGGATTGCTGGAGCCCAGGAGGCCGACAATGGAGTGGCAGTGAACAGAGCCACTGCACTCCAGCCTGGACGACAGAGTGAGATTCCAACTTTAAAAAAAAAAAAAAGGTCTAGGCTAGAAATAATAGATTAAAAAATCCTGTGGATTTATGCATAAGAAATAAAATGAAAAAATGCCACAGATTGTATTGTGAGTCATTAGAGTCATGATGTGCATAACCATATAAATAGTTCTGAAAAATCTCACTTGAGAAGAAACAACTTGTTTAACTTTATTGAACCCAGCATCTCTAAATTATTTGACCCTGAAATATTTTTTCCTCTAAACAACCTCATTGAATCCCACAGAACTAGTTTTGTAGCACATACATTGATAGTGTAGGCATTTTGCAAGGAAAAGTGAGTTTATTGATACTCTTATTTATAACGTATTTATATTTTGTAGCAAAAATATCAAGCAGATTACATAGTTGTTCCCAGTCATCTCCTCACTGAAGTAGCTTCATTACTATATGCCTTATAAACCAAAGTATTACTGTTTACCTCATCTGTAGTTGCAGGCATAATAGTCAAGAGGAAATAGCCAGCCTCTAGAGAAGTATGTCTTTAAATGTGAAGGATTTCAGGCACAATGAGAACCTGATGAATGTTATATACCATCTCCCCAGGGGGAAATTGCATATTCTCATCTAACACATAAAATCAAGAGATTCACAGACCTTAAATTCCAGGTGAATAATTCCTTCTAAGGCACTGAAAAAACTGAAATCTACTAAATGGTGGCCAAAATAACCTCTTTTTTGAGCTCTAAACTACTTAAAAAAAAAGACTGAGGCAATAATGAATATCAAACTGCAAAGATCTGCTGCAGAATTAAGCTACGGAGAAAATAGGTTTAAAACAGTGGATTTATTCATACTATACAAAACAGAATAGCCCCAGTGAAGACTTGGTCCATCCAACGCAAGGGAGGGACTTCTAAAGGCATAGCCACAAAGTTTCACAAGGAAGATTGATTTGTTGGCTTAAACAAATGGTTGGTGTGCAGATTCGGATTGGCTGGTTCTGGAGGAGCTTCTCACTGCACAGCGCTGAGCCCCAAGTCAAAGCAGTTGATCTGTAGTTTCCCCACCAGACTGTGTTTCTGATGACCTGACTGGCTTCCTGAAGTTGCTCTGGGCTTTCTTCATGGCATGCTTGCTTGCTGTCTGCACCCAAGCTCAGGGTCCTGCAGTGGACACATCGAATGCACATGTTTGGATTCAGCAAAAATGTCCTTCTTAAAGCCCTTTGATATATCTGCCTTCTGAGCATTTCCATTTGGATTTCTTACAAGTGTTTCTGGGATGCAAAGAAAACAATTTATCTGCCAACTTTCACTTCCTCCTTCCTCAGCTCCTTTCCCTCCAGCATCCCTAGCTCAAGTAAGTGGAATCATTACCCACCCCACTCCCAAGGCAGAAATTCAGGAGTTGCCCGTTCCTCCCTCTTGCTCACTCCACGGCCCAACAGTTCTACCCGCTGCAGCCTAATCACTGTGCCCTTCTTGCTGTGCTCCCTCCCCAGCATCTTCATTATCGGAATCCTTGTCTCTGTTTTCTATACTGCAGGAGCATTATCCTTCAGAAATGAGAATACAGTCACATTACTCCTTGGTTCAAACCCATTGACAGACTGGGCATGGTGGTGGCTCACGCCTGTAATCCCAGCACTTTGGGAGGCTGAGGCGAGAGGATTTCTTGAACCCAGGAGTTGAGACCAATCTCTTTTCTTGTCCCTACAAAAAATTTAAAAATTAGCTGGGTGAGGTGGCATGCACCTGTAGTCCTAGCTACTCAGGAGGCTAAGGAGGAAGGATTGCCTGAGCCCAGGAGGTTGAGGCTGTGGTGAGTAGTCATGATTGTGCCACTGCACTCCAGCTTGGGCAACAGAGTGAGACCCTCAACTCATTTAAACAAACAAACAAACAAACAAACAAACAAACAAACACACTGACAATTCCCAGTTGCCAGTAATTAAAGTGTAGTCTCTTCCTCTGGCTCACAGGGTCTTCCCCTCATATCTCAGCTTCATCCTTACCCTTTTCTGCACTGCATTCCCTCCCGTAGCTAACCTCAAAGATTTACTTTCCTCCCACAAAGCATGCTTGCTTTCCGGCAGGTCTGTTAGCAAGTTCAGGAACTGTCTTTCTCCTCCTCTTCACTGGCTCTCTCTCCTCATCCTCTGAGAAGCATCTCCAATATGACTTCTTTCAGGAACACTTTCCCTGACCCACTGAGAGCCTAAGTGAGCTGTTCTGGCTCTGTGTTCTTAGAGAATTTCCCCAGTTGGAGTACTTACCATGTTTTGCAGTAATTGTTTTCCTCAATTCCTTAGTCTTTGGAGGACAGGGAATATAACTCTCCACTGTATTCCCAATGCCTAAAGGACTTTAATAAACAAGAGTTGAAAAACTAAATGAAAAAAAAATGCTTTGGCACTCTCTCCCCTAATAATATTATAAGAAACAAGTTTTAAAGATATGAAATATTTAAGTACATGTCACCTTTCTGACTAATAGAAATATAATAATTACTGAGTGTGTTCAAAATTATCTGCTCTGGGCTTCCCCTACATCATCTGAATCTTCACAATAACCCTATGAATCAGGTGTGATAATTAGTATTATTTTATAGATTAAAAATCCGAGGTTTAGAGATGTCACAATAGCTTGTTCAAGGTCATACTCTGGTCGAATTGGGATTTGAACCCAGGCAGACTGACAATATGCTGCCCCGCCAACAACACTCTCACTATTATCTATCATTTCATAGCTTAGATTTGCCTTATTTGTTTTGGGAAATCCTATAATTTTGGATGTCATTGTCTATCCATGG